GCCTGATGTCCTTGGGGAGGGAGTTCCAGAGTCGTGGGCCACCACCGAGAAGGCCCTGTCCCTCATTCCCACCAATCGTGCTTGCGATGCAGGTAGGATTGCGAGCAGGGCCTCTCCAGATGAACGAAGAGATCGTGTGGGTTCGTATACGGAAATGCGATCATGCAGGTAGGCGGGTCCCAAACCGTTTAGGGCTTTGTAGGTAAGCACCTGCACCTTGTATTGGGACCGGAAAATGAACAGCAGTCAATGGAGCTCCTTAAACAGGAGGGTTGACCTCTCTCTGTAAGGAGCACCAGTTAACAACCTGGCTGCCACCCGCTGAACCAACTGGAATTTCTGGGCCGTTTTCAAGGGCAGCCCCACATAGAGTGCATTACAGTTTCCAATCTGGAGGTGACTAAGGCATGGACCATCCTGGCCAGATCCGCCTTCACAAGGTATGGTCGCAGTTGGCACACGAGTCTCAACTGCCACCGGCCGACGCCTGAGCCTCAAGCGTAAGTGATGAGTCCAGGAGGACACCCAAACTGCGGACCTGTGACTTCAGGGGGAGTGTAACCCCGTCCAACACAGGTTGCCACCCTATACCTCGATCTGGTTTACGATCGACCAGGAGGACCTCTGTCTTGTCGGGATTAATCTTCAGCTTGTTCCTCCTCATCCAGACAGGCACAGCGGCCAGGCACTCGTCCAGCACCCGAGAGGCTTCCTTGGAGTTCGGTGGAAAAGAGTAGTAGAGGTGTGTCATCTGCGTAGAGATGGCAACCAACTCCAAAACTCTGGATGACCTCTCCCAACGGATTCATGTAGATGTTAAAAAGCATGGGAGACAGGATAGAGCCTTGCGGGACCCCACAGGTCAAAGGCCAGGGGTCCGACCAGGTGTCTCCCAGCTTCACCATCTGGGAGCGGCCCTCCAGGAAGGACCGGAGCCACGACAGAATGGTGCCCCCAAGACCCATCCTGGAGAGTCGTCCCAGAAGGATACCATGATCGATGGTATCGAAAGCCGCTGAGATGTCCAAGAGAACCAGCAGGGTCACACTCCCCCTGTCCAGTTCCCTGCGGAGGTCATCCACCAAGGCAACCAAAGCCGTCTCAGTGCTGTGGCCAGGCCTGAAGCCAGACTGTGACTGGTCCAGGTAGTTGATGTCATCCAGAAAGCCCTGGAGCTGAGAGGCTACCACCCGCTCCATCACCTTGCCCAAAAAAGGAAGGTTGTAGATTGGTCTGTAGTTGCTCAGCACCGTGGAGTCAAGGGAAGTCTTTTTCAGGAGTGGTTGAACCACAGCCTATTTTAATAATGTTATGGTTGGGGGTCACCACAACATGAGGAACTGTATTGAAGGGTCACACATTAGGAAGTTTGAGAAGCTCTGATTTAGGGGTAAATTCGTGATGTTAATTATACCTCCAGTGCTGGATGAAATGCATCCAGATGATTTCCATGCTACATAGAAGGGTATCAACAAGGTATTTTGTCTGAAAGAGTTGCATGTGTAACCGTCAGGGTCAACCTTGACAATGGAGAAGAGCCCTGACAGGATGTGTAGATCTTGCCCATCCGCCAAGAGAGGAGCCAATGGCTTAAACAGGTGCTTTCCTATTCTTTCTCTGGGGGGTTAATGAAAAGTCAAGGCCCGAGGAACGCCTCTGAGCACTGTTTTTGCAGTGGCGTTGCAAACTGAGATCCGAAAGTAATGCCCAAGGGGACTTTGGAATTTGGCCTGAAAACAATACCTTCCTCTCCCCTTTTTGTTCCTCTTCCTGGAAATAAAGAAAACAAAGCACTACAGAATGATGTTCTATTGTACAGGTTGTTTGCCTCATTCAACAGGGACTTAGCTTTCCGACGCTAATATTATCCATCAGTGCTGATTCTATTATGACAAGAGGAATGTTCTGAACCTATGCACCTTTATCTGACGAGAGATGATGTTAGCGCTTTGCTGAAGCTCTGCAGGGCCATAAAGCCCATATGGTGTAATTGCGCAATAGCGTTGTCGTTCAGCCTGTGATTGTGTCTGATGTCAATGAGGATGATGGTTTTCCTGGGACCTGAGTTGCCAAGTCCTGACCTTGTTGGAAGGCCGGGTTCTGGCCTTGCTGAGTCACAAGAGATGTGCAGATTTGATAAATGTGAAATATGATATATGGTATGAATGAATTGAATGAAAGAGGAATGAATGGATTGTCGAAGGCTTTCATGGCCAAAATCACTGGCTTGTTGCTGTGGACTCATCTTGTTGTGTTTCAAATAATAATAATAATAATAATAATAACAACAACAACAACAACAACAACAATAACAACAACAACAACAATAATAATAATAATAATAATAATAATAATAGTATTCCATCTGAACATGAGGAAGAACTTCCTGACTGTGAGAGCCGTTCAGCAGTGGAACTCTCTGCCCCGGAGTGTGGGAGGCTCCTTCTTTGGAAGCTTTTAAACAGAGGCTGGATGGCCATCTGTCAGGGGTGATTTGAATGCAATATTCCTGCTTCTTGGCAGAATGGGGTTGGACTGGATGGCCCAGGAGGTCTCTTCCAACTCTTTGATTCTATGATTCTATAATGTACACCATTGCAGGTAACATTTCCATCTGTCTATTTTCTTGGACTGTATCAACTTGCAGAGGGTGATGATGGTGGCATCATTGAAATCTGCTGGGATTTTCTCGGTCACCCACACTTTTTCAATGAGCTGGTGGAGTTGTTGTGTCAGCTCAGGTCCTTCCTCTTTAAAGATTTCAGCAGGGATCCCATCAGGTCCGCTGGCTTTGTTATTTTTTTGTTGGCTGATGGCATTGCTGACTTCTTCCAAACTAGGCAGTGCTGCAAGCTCATCCCTGGTTTGTTGTTGTGGGATTTGTGAGAGGACCTCTTCGGCCACATTGGAGCTGCGATTCAGGAGGCTTTGGTAGTGTTCTTTCCAACGTAGTGCAAGAGACCTCATGGGCCATCCAGTCCAATCCCAATTTGCCAAGAAGCAGGAATATTGCATTCAAATCACCCCTGACAGATGGCCATCCAGCCTCTGTTTAAAAGCTTCCAAAGAAGGAGCCTCCACCACACTCCGGGGCAGAGAGTTCCACTGCTGAATGGCTCTCACAGTCAGGAGGTTCTTCCTCATGTTCAGATGGAATCTCCTCTCTTGTAGTTTGAAGCCATTGTTCCATTGCGTCCTAGTCTCCAAGGAAGCAGAAAACAAGCTTGCTCCCTCCTCCCTGTGGCTTCCTCTCACATATTTATACATGGCTATCATATCTCTCAGCCTTCTCTTCTTCAGGCTAAACATGCCCAGCTCCTTAAGCCGCTCCTCATAGGGCTTGTTCTCCAGACCTTTGATCATTTGAGTCGCCCTCCTCTGGACACATTCCAGCTTGTCAATATCTCTCTTGAATTGTGGTGCCCAGAATTGGACACAATATTCCAGATGAGGTCTTGTGGCTTTGAAAAATCCCTGAGCATCATGGGTATCTGCCAGGTGTTGGATTTTTTCAGCCTTCTTTGTCCACCAAATGTTCTTGAGTTCTCTTGTCCTTCTTTGGACCTCAGCTTTTGCACTGGCGTAGGGATACAAAGGTGCTTGTTTATAAAGCTATTGTCCTTCCAATCCTGCTATATGCTTGCGAAACGTGGACTGTCTACAGATGTCACATGCAACTCCTGAAACGATTCTATCAGCGCTGCCTCCGAAAAATCCTGCAAATCTCTTGTGAAGACAAGCGGACAAAGGTCAGCGTGCTGGAAGAAGCAAAGACCACCAGCATTGAAGCGATGGTCCTCCGCCATCAACTCCGCTGGACCGGCCACGTTGTCCGGATGCCCGACCACCGTCTCCCAAAGCAGTTGCTCTACTCTGAACTCAAGAACGGAAAACGGAATGTTGGTGGGCAGGAAAAGAGATTGAAAGATGGGCTCAAAGCCAACCTTAAAAACTGTGGCATCGACACTGAGAACTGGGAAGCCCTGGCCCTTGAGCACTCCAGCTGGAGGTCAGCTGTGACGAGCAGTGCTGCAGAATTTGGAGAGGCACAAATGGGGGGCGAAAAAAAGAAATGTGCCAAGAGGAAGGCACGTCAAGCCAACCTTGACCGGGACCGCCTTCCACCTGGAAACCTATGTCCTCACTGTGTAAATGTTGAACATGGATGGAGTGAGCACGCTCCCCTGAGGCAGGCCCTTCGTCTGTTTCCGCCATCTGCTTCTCTGGCCCTGGAACTCAATAAAGAAGCTCCTGTTTTGTAGCAGGTTTCCTATGAGGCGGGTGAGGTGGTAGTCCTTTGTGAATGAAAATACATCCTGCAGATCAGATATTTACATGTTGTTGTTGTTCATTCGTTCAGTCGTCTCCGACTCTTCGTGACCTCATGGACCAGCCCACGCCAGAGCTCCCTGTCGGCCGTCACCACCCCCAGCTCCCTCAAGGTCAGTCCAGTCACTTCAAGGATGCCATCCATCCATCTTGCCCTTGGTCGTTATGACAATCCATAACAATAGCAAAATTACAGTTATGAAGTAGCAACAAAAATAATTTTATGGATGGGAGTCACCACAACATGAGGAACTGGATTGAGGGATCGCGGCATTAGGAAGGTTGAGAACCACTGAAGTAGAGGAAAACAGAGCTTTTTGAATTCCAGGTCAGCTCTTCTTCTTTCTTTTTTTTTTACTTCCTCCATCTTTTTTTCTCTATGGCCCGTTTCCAATGCGTAGCCTCCATGTGTAAATCTGTCTTAATTGCATTTTGAATCCAGGCCATTAAATTTAATATTTGCACAAAGCTTTGGGAATTCATGATCTCTCCCCCCACGACTCATGGCTATGAGTAAATTGCAAATAGTCCAAAGCCCATGTTCCATTTTCGGGAAATATTTTTTTTGGAAACCTCCCATTTGTAATGAGTCTGTTTCACCTTGGCTCCTTGCTTTCCTCCCCAAAAAAATCCCACTCCAATGTGTGTGAGTGTTTGTCTTGGTTCTTTAGGAACTGCTCTTTGGCAGCCTGCCCTGCAATCCCATTAGAAGGGCTTGATTACACCGTGCGCCTTTATTCACCCCGCAACCAGCCCAAGTACAGTGGGGTCCCCTCTGTTCCCAAATCCGTCGGCACGAAGCCGATTTCCGAGACGTCCTGCTGCGTCTCAATTACTCTGTCCTTTTTGAAGGTCCTGCTCTGAGCTCCGTTTTATGACAAGGTGGCCTTTGAAGAAATTGGTTTTTTGGAAATGGAATTTGTTTGGAAGGATCGCCTGTTCTCGCCGCCGAAGGTTTTGTTTCAGAGTTCTTAGGAAAGGATCAGGAGGAAAGGATTGGGGACTTGGCTGCGTTGCGCTTCCTTCTAATGAGGCCCCGCTTTTGTGCAAAGGTTCTCAAGAACTGGCTGCACAAAGGGTAAAGAGTTTTCTACTAAAATTGGAGGAATTGGAGAGTGTCATGAATAACATGGAGGAAATCTCGAGATGTGTCTGACCAAGCACAGGCTACAGCCTCTCTTAGGCCGTACACCGTGGCTATACGGGTAGCCAGGGAGTCTTTCACGACTGCCCATATAGCGTCTGCAGCAAATAGATCATCAGAGCTGTTTCGGGTTGTTGTGGAACTCCTTCACCTACTGGTGGTTGAGGAGACCTTCTGATCTAGAGCTAAAATTTAGGGGTCTTTGCCAGGAGGCAGAGACCAATTAGACTCATCAAAGAGTTCTTTTTCCCTGGCGAGACAGAGAAGCATCCCATATTTTTCCCTGATTTCCCAATGAAAAGTCTCACCAGTTGAAGAAAAGCCATCGAGGTTTAATGCGATTCAGCTGAAACGGATGCAAAGCTGCAATAATTCGCCAAAGCTAAGTATGAGGGGAATATACCAATACAGTCATATTTATAGCAAATTCAAAGTTGCAGAGTTCAAACTCCCCGCCCCGGCTTCCCTGTTGTTCCCTGCCATGATTGGGCGATGGGCTCCAGTTGTCTGTAGGAACCAATGGGGAGACCTCTGCCACCTGGTGGTGACAGCCAATCAGGAGAGATGGAGGCGGGATGAGGGAGCACAAAGGAATCTGGGAAAGGAGTAAACAAAGGAAATGCCATGCCATGCGGCCGGCGAGACAAAGGGGAAATCTCAAGCCAGCCTGATCTATTGTGCTTTGAGTGGAATGAATAATCAGAGTGAAGGCAAAAGGTTTTTTCGAGGACCTTTTGTCCTTCAGGAGGAAATATGATTGAGTTTTGCCAAAGGGGCAAGCTGAGGGCTGGGCAATTCCTCCGAGGGCCACCAGCTGCCCAGGCCATTGTTCATGCAAAAGGAAGTTGTGGATAAAAAATTCCTGGAATGTTTGGGGCTTTGTAGTCCCTTTGGTGGAGTTTCTTCATGTATATAGGGGAAACAAAGGTCAGAAGAAAAGGGGAAAGGCATCTGCCACACAAAGAAATAAGAAAGCACATTTCATATATCTAAAGTTCATAAAAGGCAAGATTTCATAAGGTTTGTCCATGTGGGGGGAAAGAGTGTCCATAGGGGATGGCTAAAACGCAAGGGTGTTGCACAAAGGTCCTGGCAGGAGTTCTTGAGTGGCCCAAATTGACCTGGTGTCTCTGGAAACAAGCTTTGCTCCGCGTCCTTGGAGAACTACAGCTCCCGAGAGAGGCAGAGACCCCTAGCGGGGTATAAATAAAGATAATAATAATAATAATAATAATAATAATACCTATTGATCTACTCACATTTGCATGTCTTCGAACAGCTACGTTGGCAGAAGCTGTGGCTAACAGCGGTGAACTATAAATCCCAGCAACTACAACTCCCAAATGACAAAGTCAGGTTTTTTTGAGTGAAGGACATACATTGGGTTGTTAGGTGTCTTGAGGTCCAATGATCTATTCAACCATTTCAAAGCTCCATGCTTGAGTGGTGATGGCACAATCGACAGCATAGATGAAACTCTAACAGGCAGTGAAAGCACCTAAAGCAACCTGTGGGTCCCCAGATGTTTCAGCCCACAACTCCCAGAAATCCCAGCCAGTTTACTAGCTGTCAGGATTTCTGGGAGTTAAAGCCCAAAACATCTGGGGACCCACAAGTTGAGGTCCAATCATCTTCAGTTTTGGAGAGTTTCTATTCAACCATTTCAAAGCTCCCTGCTTGAGTGGTGATGGCACGATCGTCAGCATAGATGAAACTCTAACAGGCAGTGAAAGCGCCTAAAGCAACCTGTGGGTCCCCAGATGTTTCGGCCCACAACTCCCAGAAATCCCAGCCAGTTTACCAGCTGTCAGGATTTCTGGGAGTTAAAGCCCAAAACATCTGGGGACCCACAAGTTGAGGTCCAATGATCTACAGTTTTGGAGAGCTTCTATTCAACCATTTCTAAGCTCCCAGCTTGAGTGGTGATGGCATGATCATCAGCATAGATGAAACTCTCTGTCCCTTCTGGCAGTGGCTGGTCATTTGTGTGAATGTTGAACATGGATGGAGCAAGCACAGTGTGTCATATCGTCTCATGACAAGCCCGAACTATAATTGCACGGGGCAGCCTAGGAAGAATGTGGGGTTGACTACACCTGGAATATTGTGTCCAATTCTGGGCACCACAATTCAAGAGAGATATTGACAAGCTGGAATGTGTCCAGAGGAGAGCTACTAAAATGATCAAGGGTCTGGAGAACAAGCCCTATGAGGAGCGGCTTAAGGAGCTGGGCATGTTTAGCCTGAAGAAGAGAAGGCTGGGAGGAGATATGATAGCCATGTATAAATATGTGAGAGGAAGCCACAGGGAGGAGGGAGCGAACTTGGAGACTAGGACGCAATGGAACAATGGCTTCAAACTACAAGAGAGGAGATTCCATCTGAACACGAGGAAGAACTTCCTGACTGTGAGAGCCGTTCAGCAGTGGAACTCTCTGCCCCGGAGTGTGGTGGAGGCTCCTTCTTTGGAAGCTTTGAAACAGAGGCTGGATGGCCATCTGTCAGGGGTGATTTGAATGCAATATTCCTGCTTCTTGGCAGAATGGGGTTGGACTGGATGGCCCAGGAGGTCTCTTCCAACTCTTTGATTCTATGATTCTATGTTCTCTGGTCCATTTATTTCCTCCCGAGTCCCATTTCCAACAAATCTCTCCCTTTCTCGTCAGGATTCTTTACAACCTGGTTTTAACAACCATGCCCATAAATTGTACATTCCCCAGGATGGATGATCCAGGCTTTGAAACGGAATGATAAGTCTTCACACTTACCTCGTGCTTTCCTCACCGCTCTCCTGAGTCTTATCTTCCTCCTGATTTCTTCGCTGCCGTCTCCGTTTTGATTTGCGGCTTGGCCCGAGGAACAGAAAATCGTCATCTTGATGCCTTCATCATCCACTTTTCAGATGCGTAAATCACTGATAAAGCTCCTCTCATGGGGTTTAGATGGCTTAATTGTTTCCCCCTCTGTTTCAGCTATTTGGTGTGCTCTGGCACAATTGAGTTTCAATCATCCGCTAGCTCTTTTATTCATAGGCAATGTGTCTATACATTCCAACACACCAGTCCTGCCTCTGTTTCCCTCTTGTTGAACATGTAGGTCAGTGTTTCTCAACCTGGGGGTCAGGATCTCTGGGGAATGTCAGAGGGGTCACCAAAGACAATCAGGAAACACATATATTCTGATTGAGAACCAGCTCAAAATTGGATTCACCCTCACCACTACTCCAAACGATGTAGTGGCCACCAGCTGTCCTGGGTGGTCAAGCATGTGGATCCATGCACTTGCCACACGAGGCAGCTGCCTCACTCAGGCCCTTTGTACAGCTGTCCTGGACCAGCCTTCTTTCTTCTCATGGCTGGTGACCAGCCTTCGTACCTCCCTCCTTCCCCAAATCATAGAATCAAAGAGTTGGAAGAGACCTCCTGGGCCATCCAGTCCAACCCAATTCTGCCAAGAAGCAGGAATATTGCATTCAAATCACCCCTGACAGATGGCCATCCAGCCTCTGTTTAAAAGCTTCCAAAGAAGGAGCTTCCACCACACTCCGGGGCAGAGAGTTCCACTGCTGAACGGCTCTCACAGGAAGTTCTTCCTTATGTTCAGATGGAATCTCCTCTCTTGTAGTTTGAAGCCATTGTTTCGCGTCCTAGTCTCCAAGGAAGCAGAAAACAAGCTTGCTCCCTCCTCCCTGTGGCTTCATCTCACATATTTATACATGGCTATCATGTCTCCTCTCAGCCTTCTCTTCTTCAGGCTAAACATGCCCAGCTCCTTAAGCCGCTCCTCATAGGGCTTGTTCTCCAGACCCTTGATCATTTTAGTCGCCCTCCTCTGGACACATTCCAGCTTGTCAATATCTCTCTTGAATTGTGGTGCCCAGAATTGGACACAATATTCCAGGTGTGGTCTGACCAAAGCGGAATAGAGGGGTAGCATGACTTCCCTGGATCTAGACACTAGGCTCCTCTTGATGCAGGCCAAAATCCCATTGGCTTTTTTTGCCGCCACATCATATTCCTGACTCATGTTTAACTTGTTGTCCACGAGGACTCCAAGATCTTTTTCACACGTACTGCTCTCGAGCCAGGCATCATGTCTGTGTTTTAGATGGATAAGGGATCAGCTGGTGTTCCCTGTAATAGGCAGTAAGAGCACCTAGAGCTTCGGAGAGCTTCTGTTCAACCATCTCAAAGCTCCCTGCTTGAGCGGCAATGGCGTGATCATCAGCATAGATGAAACTGTCCCTTCTGGCAGTGGCTGGTCATTCATAACAGTAGCAAAATGACGGTTATGAAGTAGCAAGAAAAATAATGTTATGGTTGGGGGTCACCACAACATGAGGAACTGGATTAAGGGGTCGCGGCATAAAGGAAGGTTGAGAAACACTGATGTAGGTGATGGTTCTCCTTCTCTTTCCAGCCTTGGTCGGCTCCATCGGCATGGGCATGGTGTTCCTTTGCTCTCCTGTCGTCAGCATCTTCACCGACCGGATCGGATGCAGGACCACAGCGGCCTCCGGAGCAGCCATTGCCTTCATCGGACTCTTCTCCAGCTCCTTCACCAAGTAAGTCTTGATGAACCTTTTTTGGATCCTGTAATATTGCCGCAAACCATGGGTTGCAAACTCTTCCCGCGCCTCCTTCCAAAGTGGTTCGTAATTTGGCCAGAGAGCATCATCTCCCTGGGACTGCCGAGCCCTCCTTCGTAGTCCTGCCTTTTGGTCTACGTCCACCTCCACTCGATGTATCTTTAGATCGAGAATCATTATTATTATTATTATACCTACTTATTAGGCCTGTTTGATCAAGAAAAAATTTGTTTCTAAATTCGATTCTTAATTGGGGTGTTTTTTTGTTTCGATATTTAAAATATTTACAAAACTTTCCAAAAAAATGTTTTGTTATTTACGAAATTTCGTAAATATTTACGAAACATTTTAGAAACAAATTTTTTCTTGATCAAACAGGCCTATGTAGGGCAAATAGACATATGTTTGTGTGCTGGGGAGGGACTGGGCTGGCATGGCTGCAAATCCTGTTTCTTGCCATGGGAAAGGCAATTGCTTCTGCTGCAGTGGCCCATCCAAGGCCCAGAGAAGAGGCCTGCCTTCCTGGCTCTCTCCCTGCGAGGCCCGGCCAGCTTTGCTTCCCCTCCCATTTGCGCCAAGACCTTCCCTGCTGGGGAGAGGGGCCCCTCCTCACCTTCTCCTTCTTCAGCTTGTAGGGCATCCCGGACCGTGAAGGGCTGCCTGTGGCCCCGCGCTCGGCCTTTCTCTCGAGGAGTGCCGGGAGGAGGAGGAGGAGGAGGAGGGCGCAGCAGCCGGAGCCGATCGGATGGCGCGCGCGCTCCTGCGCCCTCTTCCTCCTCCTCCTCCTCCTCCCAGCTGTGTTGCAGGAAGTGCCGGGAGGAGGAGGAGGAGGAAGAGGGCGCAGGAGCGCGCGCGCCATCCGATCGGCTCCGGCTGCTGCGCCCTCCTCCTCCTCCTCCTCCCTCCCGTCCTTCCTGCAACACAGCTGGGAGGAGGAGGAGGAGGAGGAGGGCGCAGCAGCCGGAGCCGATTGGATGGCGCGCGCGCTCCTGCGCCCTCCTCCTCCTCGCGCCGCCCCTTCGCCCCGCCCGCCCCAGTTACTGCTGGGGTGCTTGGGAGCGCCGGATTGGCTCCCAGGCACCAGCACTGCAGCACAGCAGCCTCCATCCCATTAACGAGCGGAGCTTCAGCTCGTAAAAAAAATGGGGCTGCTGCTTCGATATTTTCAAACCCTTCCGGGTTTGAAAATATGTTTTGATATCGCTTCGGATATGCAAAAAATAACGATTTAAATACGAAATAACGAATTAACGAAACGAAACCGACAGGCCTACTACTTATCTCTTGCTCTCCTCGCTTAAAGGAGGCCCAAAAGTGGCAATTATGGGGAAACCACAGGGTCCGAGGCAATTTCGAAATCGTAATTGCGTGTCCAAATGGACCCCCGACTCCTGGCGTTGGGTTGGGAAGTTCCCTCTTAATGGAGGCTTCTCAGCTGGCGTTGCAACAGCCTTGTATTTGAAAGACGTCAGTCACAATCTCTCCCCGAGTTCTCCGCCTCTATATCAGCCAAAGTACATGCATTGGAAAGTTGCATTTTGCGCGGAACGCTTTTCATGGGAAACAAATTGCTTTTCTCCGACCGATCGCTCCAAAGAGTTCAATTCATCAAACTGTTGTTACGGAACCAGTTGTGCAGATTGGTTTCCTCCAGATTGGTGCTTTCCCAGCTGGGTTACAACTCTCCGCATTCAGGATGATGGGCACTGCAGTCCAAAATCCCTGGGACCATACCAGTGAAGGGATGATAGGCACTGCAATCCACTAATTGAAACCATATTAGATTAGAGAGGGATTGTAGGTATTGCAGTTCAATGCACTGAGAACATATTAGAGAAGGAATGATAGGCATTGCAGTCCAGTCCACTGAATCCATACTAGAGTAGAGATGGGATGATAGGCATTGCAGTTCAATGCATTGGGACCATACTATTGAAGGAATGATAGGCATTGCAGTCCAATGCATTGAATCCATACTAATGTAGAGACAGGATGATGGGCACTGCAGTCCAAAGCACTGGGATCATACCAGTGAAGGGATGATAGGCATTGCAATCCAGTTATTGAATCCATATTAGATTAGGGAAGGGTTTGTAGGCATTGCAGTCCAATGCATTGAGACGATACTATTGAAGGGATGATGGGCATTGCAGTCCAATGCATTGAATCCATACTAAAGTAGAGATGGTATGATAGGCATTGCAGTTCAATGCATTGAGATGATACTACTGAAGGAATGATAGGCATTGCAGTCCAGTCCATTGAATCCATACTAAAGTAGAGATGGGATGATCGGCATTACAGTCCAGTCCATTGAATCCATACTAGAGAAGGGATGATAGGCATTGCAGTCCAATGCGTTGGGACTATACTTGAGAAGGGATGATAGACTATACTTGAGAAGGGATGATAGGCATTATAGTCCAGTCTATTGAACCCATGCTAGAGAAGGGATGATACGCATTGCAGTCCAGTTCATTGAATCCCTACAAGACAAAGGATGATAGGCATTGCAGTCAAGTGCATTGAGACCATACTAGAGAAGGGATGATAGGCATTGCAGTCCAATGCATTAAGACAATACTAGAGAAGGGATGATAGGCATTATAGTCTCATCCATTGACAGCATTCTAGAGAAGGGATGATAGGCATTGCAGTCCAGTCTATTGAATCCATACTAGAGAAGGGATGATAGGCATTGCAGTCCAATGCATTGGGACCATACTAGAGAAGGGATGATAGGCATTGCAGTCCAATGCATTGAGACAATACTAGAGATGGGATGATAGGCATTACAGTCCAGTCTATTGAACCCATACTAGAGAAGGGATGATAGGCATTGCAGTCCAGTCTATTGAATCCATACTAGAGAAGGGATGATAGGCATTGCAGTCCAGTCTATTGAACCCATACTAGAGAAGGGATGATAAGCATTGCAATCCAGTCTATTGAATCCATACTAGAGAAGGGATGATAGGCATTGCAGTCCAATGCATTGGGACTATACTAGAGAAGGGATGATAGGCATTGCAGTCCAATGTATTGGGACTATACTAGAGAAGGGATGATAGGCATTGCAGTCCAGTCTATTGCATCCATACTAGAGAAGGGATAATAGGCATTGCACTCCAATGCATTGAATCCATACTAGAAATGGGATGATAGGCATTGCAGTCCAATGCATTGAGACAATACTAGAGAAGGGATGATAGGCCTTATAGTCCAGTCCATTGAGACCATACTAGAGTAGAGACGATCTCTGAGTGTTTTCTTTGGCCGATCTACACTGGAAAGAAAACATCATCAAGGTTTTTATATGGGTTTTAAGAAAAGGAAGCATTTCCTCCATTCAGAACCTTTTGCATCCTTCCCAACGCATCATGTCGTCCTGAACAAAACGCTCCGCTATTAATCCATTTGTTTTTGTCTGTGGTTTTTAAGTCTCTGTTTTGGATTTTCAACCGCTCTCTGCGCCGCCACAATTAAAGCCATCCGTGCCTTTGAAGGCTTTTTGAGCAGTTCCAAAAAAAAAATAATCTGTTTTTAATGCATTACAACCTGTGCGTTCTCTCGCCAAATGTCATATTCCAAGTCATGGCTCCAAATGAAAGATGTGCTGGAAAAAGGATGGCTGGGGGAAGCATTAAATAAGGCAATTTGCTTTTCAGAGGCACATACTGTTCAGCCACCCATGTTAAAGCCTGATGAATTCTCTCAGCCTTTAACATGTTGAGATGTGTTCCACACTGGCCATGCGTACTCAGCAGCAGAGTAGCATAGCACAAGGGAAGATGTCGTCACTGTGTCTAGTTGTGATCCCCAGGATGTAGTATACAATTTTGTTTCTAGCACCCACTTTGTCTCAGCAGAGTAGCATAGCACAAGGGAAGATGTCGTCACCGTATCTAGTTGTGATTCCCAGGTTGTAGTATGCAATTTTGTTTCTAGCACCCACTTTGGCTCAGCAGAGTAGCATAGCACAAGGGAAGATGTCGTCACCGTGTCTAGTTGTGATACCCAGGTTGTAGTATACAATTTTGTTTCTAGCACCCACTTTGGCTCAGCAGAGTAGCATAGCACAAGGGAAGATGTCGTCACTGTGTCTAGTTGTGATCCCCAGGATGTAGTATACAATTTTGTTTCTAGCACCCACTTTGTCTCAGCAGAGTAGCATAGCACAAGGGAAGATGTCGTCACCGTATCTAGTTGTGATTCCCAGGTTGTAGTATGCAATTTTGTTTCTAGCACCCACTTTGGCTCAGCAGAGTAGCATAGCACAAGGGAAGATGTCGTCACTGTGTCTAGTTGTGATCCCCAGGTTGTAGTATACAATTTTGTTTCTAGCACCCACTTTGGCTCAGCAGAGTAGCATAGTGCAAGGGAAGATGTCGTCACTGTGTCTAGTTGTGATCCCCAGGATGTAGTATACAATTTTGTTTCTAGCACCCACTTTGGCTCAGCAGAGTAGCATAGCACAAGGGAAGATGTCGTCACTGTGTCTAGTTGTGATCCCCAGGTTGTAGTATACAATTTTGTTTCTAGCACCCACTTTGGCTCAGCAGAGTAGCATAGCACAAGGGAAGATGTCGTCACTGTGTCTAGTTGTGATCCCCAGGATGTAGTATACAATTTTGTTTCTAGCACCCACTTTGTCTCAGCAGAGTAGCATAGCACAAGGGAAGATGTCGTCACCGTATCTAGTTGTGATTCCCAGGTTGTAGTATGCAATTTTGTTTCTAGCACCCACTTTGGCTCAGCAGAGTAGCATAGCACAAGGGAAGATGTCGTCACTGTGTCTAGTTGTGATACCCAGGTTGTAGTATGCAATTTTGTTTCTAGCACCCACTTTGGCTCAGCAGAGTAGCATAGCACAAGGGAAGATGTCGTCACTGTGTCTAGTTGTGATCCCCAGGTTGTAGTATACAATTTTGTTTCTAGCACCCACTTTGGCTCAGCAGAGTAGCATAGCACAAGGG